ATCTTCTTAATCTTCTTCTTCTGTTTGCCATTTAGCCCAAATAGCCTCTCGTGTTGAGCGATGAAGACGCATCACCTCTTCACTTGACCCTCCACTTCGACCTCAATGCCCCTCCACTCATCGAACGCCCGCTCAGCCAGTCCAGGCCGCCGGCAGGTACAGTTGTAAGCAAGAGCCGCTGAAGAAGTTGACCCCAGCGAGAGACGGGAGTGTCCGAAGGGACGGCCCGACTCTCAACTCTCTACTCCAGAGCTCTGGCACCGCAGGTTGATCCTGGCGGGCGTCTGCTGCCGAAGGAGTTGGATGCTATCCGGGGCGGACGAAGACGAGCAGAAGAGGACCGAGTGGCGTCCATCGGAGCCGTCTTTCGACTGGCACCCGCTTCGACCCAGACCTTTAGCCGGAGACCGAGATGACCCAGCCAGAATTGTCCTGTATTGGGGAGAGTGACTGGTTGACGGAGATTTCCGGCGACTCCAGCTGTCTACTCGGCCCCCTCGGGGGCAACAACATCATCAAACAGTTGGCAGACGGGTTCCGCAGGGCTACTCACGAGACCCGGCTCGAGGCCCGCTCGTTCGATCCTCTCATCGGAGGCTATCCCGGTACCTGGTCGGCCGAGGATGCCGGTCATGTCTGCGAGATGCCCGGTGAGTTGGCTTCTCAACTCACCTCCGAGCCCACCTCGGCACCGCTCAACCGACTGGAAGGACTCGAACTCATGGCCACCCCGTCACCGCTGTCAGCACCACCGTCATCTCCCTCGCCATTTTCCTCCGCCGTCTCGTTCGACAGCCGAACCGGGCTCGAACCCGGCTTCCAGTTGATGCGTTCTCGCGCGGCGCCTTTGCAGATGGTGGTAAGCGAAGTACAAACAGAGATCGGATGTCCAAATGGAGGACAAGACAGAACAGTGATGGGAGCGGGCTTCACGAATCTGGGAGAGCAAGTGAGTCATTTTCGCCTACCGAGCGTCACTTTCAGCCACCGCCTCCATATTTGGGCAAAACCTCCGAACTACCCTTCAGAGAATTGGCTTCCAAATTGTTTTTCTTGCAGCAAACTTATGAAATCCGACATGGCAAAACCGCTCTGTCTACCTCAAAAGACTTTGATCACCGCTTGGGCATTCTGCATTTGAGGACTTGACGAGTCCTTGTGTCACCCCAGACGTATATGCGCAGAAAAGTAGGGTTTCATAATTGTTGAGCTTACTTCCATTTCGAGTGAAAGTCTTTGGTGAAGCTATTCGGAGCTCGATCCCACCAGAAGACGATGACCACGGTTTCCTCTTGACCAGCTGTCGATTGGCTTTACTGCAATATTCTTATTTACGCTGTTTCCGAGGCAACCCCCTTCGAGTTCGATGAAAATGTGCTTAGCTTTCGTCCATAGTATGACTCGTTAGCTTGAATACGGGTGTAAGGATGATACCCTGCTCTGATGTTCTCCGTCATATGACGGACGAAAGCATAGCAAGTGTTCATCGGAATCGAAGGAGATTGCCTCGGAAACAGCGTCGGCAAGAATGTTCCAGTCAGACTTTAACGTGTCTGCTATAAATATAAGAACAAGTTGGACTTTTCTAAGTCAGCCGCTGAGGCCAGGAGAGCCCATATTGCCCAATCAGTGGAAATGTGGTAGCATACATGGACACATGTGTAGATAACTTAGGAATTGGAGGGCTATAGACGGACGTTGATATACAGTTATAACCACTTTGCTTGATGGGTAGGGGACACTCATGAGCATACATAGACAAGTAAATATAATAGGAAAAATTGATGGATAAATACGTATTAGACGCCCCATCATCTCCAAGGTGATAATTCCAGTTGTGAAGCTTTCATTTTGTGCTAAAGTGCACGGTGAAGAGATTCAATGTAACCAGAAGAAGACGGCTGAATCGCATTGTACTGCAGCCCTCTGACATTAATACGACATTCAGTTTGATGCAGTCCACGAGACATTCTCCAACGTTTCGGACGAAGACGGACCGACTAACATTGTCAGAGCTGGGACTCTTTCTTGCAAAAGCCTGAAGTTGACACTAAGCCAACAAGACTGACCGGCTTTCTTCTCTATGATGCATATACATAGATGAACATGGAAAGATTTGGCCAATTCACATAAACTCGAGTGTGTCTGTGTGCATGTATGCTAATGTCTGTACGCAAAACCGACCATAACTCTGAGTAATTAGGAAAAAGCTTAGGGTCAGTCTTGGATCATCAAGGCTCAATCACCCAGCGAGAAAAAAAAGACCAAGATTGCGTTGGTCCGTAGATGATTCTTGTTGAATTGATGCGATGTAAGCCTGTACGCGTGAAGGTAAGGTCATGACAACTGGGCAATCGGGGCAGATGTCTCGTCGACTGTGTCAACCGGAAGGTCGTATTAAAGCCAAACGGCTGCAGTACAACGGGAATCAGTTGTCGTTTTCTGGTGATGTCGACCTTTGCATTACTTCATAAGGCACTTTCATGCGAAAAGAAATCTTATCTTAAGAGATTCTTCGAAACCCTCATCTTCTTTGTACATACCAATTCTTGTTGACATTTGGCCGCTCTGAAAGCCTAATTTTGGTAGTCACATTTGCTGAACCACATTCCTCTTCATCTGGGATGTTCTGCAGTTCCGGCTTAGACATCATCCCACCAGCGCCCCTAGTTATTCCGATTCGTCTGGTGTCCGTCGCCTAGGCTTGCCATGACACAAGGTACTGCTCGTTTCCTCCCTGTTGCCAGGCCTACCGAATGACCCATTTAAATTGCTCTTTCCTGGATAGTCCATAAATGTGAGTCTGCCTGTAAGCAGAGATTTTTATCGCCTGATTTAGGATGGTCTGTCATGTCTGTGAAGATAAGCGATCAGGATTGGTATGAAATAAATGCGTAGTTGCTCTATCTGTCCAGGTATTTTAACTTTTTTTAGGCATCCACATGTTTAAATTAAACTCCATTTGGTCGCGGAGGCAACACGTCCGATTGTAAAATGGTTGAAGCTCCAACAATATGCGGATCGGAGCATGTCTGTAGTTGGGCCACTGCTATGCAGCCATTGGCTCCTAGTGAAGACCCGTTTTCTCAATTCCGTATCCACGGGGGAGGAGGAGCCTAAGGAGTAGCTGGCTCCTGCTACGGGGACTGCAAATTCTGACCCCCTATGCCTCACATCCCCACGGTCTTGCTTGTCTACCCCATACTGCATTATATTTGAGATGAAACTTTATCATCCTCTGGCTTCTGCCGTCAAGCTTTTTGGAGTAGCCTTCTCAAAGCCAGCTTGGCTGTCCACAAGAAATGAACAGGTTCCGCTCTCGGTGGTACCTGGCCTCTCCTCTGGATTTTACTCCACCCTCTGCCTAGACTTGACCTTAGCGGCGGGATTCGAACTCTCACCAAGCGCCTTTTGAGGCAAGGTCCACCCGACCATCCCACCATATCGCGTTAAGCCCGAGAAGACGTTAGGGCGATTTTTTTTAGAGACAATCTTGGAGGCCTCAGACTATGTGTCAATTGCGTCGTGAGTACTTTCGCTTGTCCTCCACCTCAAACCGGACCCGAAACTCGGCCCTAAATAGGACCTTATTTTGTCTTCATTCCTCTCCTTCTCATGATCCGTATAGCCTGGCTTCCTCTTGAATATGAGCCTAGCTATCCTGCGTCCCTTGATGTGATTTAAGGAATGATGTTTAGGTTTTTCCTCTCACCACCTAACAACTCACATTTTCGTGGTGTTATTATCGCTTGAGCCAACATGTGTTTGCCATTGTTTATCGATGGAGTTACTTATTTTCGATAGAAGTGGTTTTTGAGACTGTCATTACTTCTTGAATAAGAGATTAGTCACCGCGGCTTGCTCTCTTTCCAGAGCCCGAGAGTATGACGAGGGCATGACATGCTGTCTCTCTTCCGTTACCTAACCCGAGCTGTGACCTGCAAGAATCTGAAGAAGATGCTGGCCCAAGCGCCAAGTGATGTATTTTCTACGCCTTGTCCTGATGAAAGCGTGAAATCGTACATCAAATTTGTGTCGGGCAGAGATTTTTATGAGGTTAAGAAGGCCCCTGATTTTCGTTTTGCTTCCAGTAGGAAGGCGTTGAGCACCATTTACTATCGCATTAAGCTATGGCCATGTTCGAGCGCCCTGCGCTAATAAAAGGTGCTACCAGCAATACAATATATAGGGTAGTATTAAACGTAAAAGCATCTTGAGGAGAGCTAAATAATATTCATCTAAAAAAGAGGCATAATTATGCAAAAAATACAGGATAACACCAATCTATGCGACTTACCCAGCACTCCAGTAGTCTCAGAGAGGGTATACAACTGTCTTTTTTATCATTAAATGATTTTCCATTTTTAAGGAAAAGTTTGTTAGAAGAAATTCGTGAAATAGTCTCATTTGAAAGCAGAGGATTTCCGTGAAGTGAAGACTGTTAGATTTTGCGAGGAAGCCATCGGATCTCCTTCTTACGACTCCAGTGAAGCTGTGCTAAGCGATCAGTTTTTCGTCATCTTTTTTTCCATAATAAAAATTGCAAATACTATGAAAATGCAGATTTCGAAGAATCTCTCGAGATAGGATTGTTGTGAAGACTATACATTCGTATTGAAATATATAATGAAGAGGAGGAGATTCTTCGAAACCCTCATTTTCTTCATAAATATAACGTACGTATCGTTCAACTTCTTGTCATTTGTCTTCTCGACACATTAAAACTAAGAAAACTATATCCCGGCAAGTAAAGAGAATTAGATTTTTTTATATTTTTTTAATAATGTAGTTCCAGAATGTTGTTTTCGTGGTAGGCGTAATGATTTACCTATTTCTACTAGTAAGGAACTGAACGAGGTATTTGGTGGTTTGATTGAAATTAGGCTTAAGGAAAGCACTATCAAGTTACACGATCTGATTAGAACCAAGACCTGACTAAGACAAACTCTTTCACACATTCTAAGTGAGAACGACTTTCTTAAGTTACAAGGCAGGGCTGACTGTTTGGATGGAGCAATATATGAGATGACTAGGAGCGTTCATGATTAGAAGCTAAAAAGTTTGGATATTTGGATCCGTTTAGGGAACCTTGTATCTAAGGCGAAGATTAATAAGAACAGGCCGAACAAATTTTGCAGAGATAAGATAATTAATTTGTCCAATACAGAGCTGGAGGTTGGTGTGAAAGTTCAACCAGAAAGAGGATTAAATTATACACAACCGAATGAAGTAGACCATTTTCTGGAAATATTGGTTGAGCTAATTAACTTATCAGATAGGTTACCTAAACAAGTCAAAAATAGTATAGAGTTGGAGATGATTACTTACTTTGACCAGGTAGTTACGCCAACCTAATCCTTTGTTCTGAGCAGATAGATAGTTCGTAATAATCTCATTGTTATGAAAGCCGACAAGAGTGGATCAGTGGTAGTCATGGTTAGGTCAAGTTATCTAAAGAAAATGCTTGTGCATTTAGATGACATTGATACATATAAGCTTTTAATGAAAGGTCCAACAGAGGGACTTAAAACTAGGCTAAGAGGTGCTTCGAAGGTATGCGTAAGTAGTGGGGAAATGGAGAAGTGTAAAATGAATTCCATTCTTCATAAATATGCTAGGACACCCTCGGTTTATTTCCTTTCAAAGGTGCATAAAGAGGAGTTTCCCCCTATATTAATTGTTTACAATAAGGGTAGTATTATGCACGAAATCATACGATTTTTACGCGGACACTTAATAAAATAATTTGGTAAACCATTGGACAAGCAAAATATTTCATAGTAAGACATACTAGTAAGTTTTGACCTGGCATCAATATACACAACTATTCCAGTTGAAGGGGCTATTTAGGCTATAATGCCAAACCTGGAGGAGAATTCAGAGATTAAGGAGGGAATTCTAAGGCCCCTTAACATATCCATGAGTAATACATGTTTCATTTCTGGCGGTTGGTAAGTAAGTAAGTAAGGTAAGACACGAGGACTTGCAATGGGTTCTTACTTAGCTCCAATTTTGGCGAATAACTACATTACTAAGATCGAAGATATAACGACCAAGATGGTGTGGTTTTTTGTGTGGTCGCAGTCTCCTTTCGTTGTATAGAAGTTGTTTGACCTTGTTT